AATTTGGGCCCCCCCTAGACTCTTCACCCCCGCCTGGAAAGCGATTCCCCGTCGTTTAAACCCTACTGGAGCCCAAAAGATGAACTTTTTTTTTTTCAAGCCTTCCAAACCGAAAAATGCAAATATCTCGGCTCCTATGGGTCCCAGAGCGAAATCCTTGAAATTTGGGCCCCCCCTAGACTCTTCACCCCCGCCTGGAAAGCGATTCCCCGTCATTTGAACTCTACTGGAGCCCGAAATATGCACTTTCATGTTTTCCAGCACTAGCGCCGCTGCGGCCGCGTTGTTGATGTTATTCTCATCACATGTCAGATCAGGGGTCCCCTTCGATTATCGAATGGAATGAAAAATTATCGATTATCCCCTCGAGATCTGCCATGTTCGATTAGTGGCCCATCTCTTTTATTATATAGGATTATATAGGATATAGGAAAGTATCAGGGGAACATGAACGTCGAGGAGGTATTCAGTTTTTAAACGATTTCCTTTAATTAGCCATTTACAAAAAAAAAATAGGAATTATTAAAAAAAAATGCGTGTTGGCGGGATCGTACCCCAGCCGTCGGCGTGCTAGCCAAGCACGCTACCGAGTAGACAACGCGCTCATTATAAAAATAAGTTTTCATTAGTAGTATATCTTCAATATATTGAATAATTTTTTGCATTTGAAATTCCACAAGATGTGGCTTCCCCCTTCCACTCGTTCTACAGTCGGCTAAATCTCAGTTAAACAAATAAAAAACAAAAAGCATTCATACCGCAGAAAATAAAATTCATCCGTCGACTTCATGGACAGCCCAGCCTTGCAATAAAATCTTGGTTAATAAAAAAACAACATCCCAGCATTGCGTGTGGCGCCCTCCCTCTCTTGGGGAGCAGTACTACGATGCCGCTGGGGTCACTCAAACCCCCAGATCTGAGCCTCTATTTTAGTCAATCCCATAGTCAATACGGTCAATCGTCTTTGGTCGCACCTGTGAGTAAGGCAGGACGCGAGGGCGAGAGTGTCGATAATTAATTACTATCATCTCGCAGTAATTTTTATTTTATTTCTTCAAGAATATGATATGAAAGAATGAAAAACCACCACTTTTTGTACATAAAAACGGTTTCTCGTAATCGTTTTATTAATCACTGCTGATTTATAATATATTTTGTTTTATATTACCAAAAATGTAAATTATTAAAAATACTCTAGATTCATCGACTGTAAGAAATTAATTGTTTAAAATATAAAAAAAAATATCAATACAGAAATTAACAGAGGAGTAAAAATGACAGAGATATAATATAATATATTATAATATCAATAAATAAGCAACAGTCATTCGCCCTGAAGGAGTCGTGTCCAATTGGTCCTTCGAAGATGATGAAGGTGTGCCCTGGCGGATCCCTCATGTCCGGCTGGAGAATGAAAAAGTCATTGAAGTGAGATTCCAACAGGTGGTGAATATAACACGCAAAAGGAAGGTCGTGTCTTCGGATGGTCAACAATCCAACTTGTACATCCGTACATGTTGATTAGTAATTCCCATCGGCGTGCCGTACACAGCCCGTACGACGGACTACTTCCTTCAAGCCTCGCATACTGACACCAAATCCTATATACGCTATATACTCAAACCGTTCTCGATGAAGCTGAGACCAGAGCCTCAAAACACCGAGACCATTGGCATGCCATCGCTCCTCTACATCATGCACACAACAACACTATTTTTATCGTACACACCCGTTTGGGGACTGGAGTAAAATTTCTCCTGGGAACGAAATTATGTCAATCATTTTCGGATACTCAACTACGAGAACAACCCCTATCGGATGCTCTCAACCTGTGATAATTATTATAAATGTAACTAGGAATTACTATAACGAAATTGGATTGTCATAGATCCAGATTTTTTTATAAAACGATTTTATACAGATTTTTTAATTTATAAATTTTTATTGAATTCTTGAGGAATTATCTAGAGTATTAGATATTAAATTGGAAATTTATGTTGGAAAAGGGCAGGATGGACTTCTGGGTAGGTGCTGATAATTTATATTAACAAATTAGCAATCAATTTTTTATGTTAAATATAATTTTTTCGAAATCGCTATGAATTTGGTCGTAATCCAGAGTTCCAATCTAAAATTTTGCAATAATTTCATGATCAAACTCTTAAACTCAATCTTCCGTTTTTGACCGTTAGAAAAATTCTTAGAATAGGCTGAAAATTAGAAAGTTACTTTTCGGAGAACATTTGTATACTCTAAAAATAAAAATAATTAATTCTCCAATTGTTTATAAACTGCATTTATCGAAATTGAAACAGATATTCCCTTTCGAATTTCCCAATGACTAAAATCAGTTATTAATCACAACCAAATGTTTAGAAATCTAGGGAATTAATTGCAAAATGGAATTCGGATAAGTCAAATATCTGTGTATTAATTTATTTACGACGATTTTATTGATATTTTTGGTGATCGGAAAATAGAGAATCCGTGGATTAAACTGTCGAGGTACTTGAATGTCATTAAAAATACCCAACTCTAAATTCTGACCTGCCTAAAAGACCGAACACTAGGTCCCAAAGTAGGTCAATTACAGAACGAAGAAATGACTTGATCGTATAAACAGGATTCCAGAGGAGGAAGTTCATCTTCAAGGTCCTTCGGAATTTGTCTTTGCCTCGAAATCTAAAATTATTCAATTCTCAAACTCGAATTTACAGTTAGACTATCACGATGTAGTCCCATCGGCTCAATATCATTTTCACCGAAACATTGAAATCATCATCCAAAATCGCTAACAAGGCCCATTAATAAAGCCTCGACAATATGAAACTGAACATTCTATTTTCCATCAATGAAACTTCAAATAATCCAGTGAAAAAAAAATTCACCTCCGAAATTTTCACTGAAATCCTAATTTCGAGGTCAGCACGACAACGAAAATTAGTGAAAGTAGTGAAAATTCAGGTCATTATTTTTCCAACTCATCGCCATTAAAAATTCCACCAAATTGGATCCCCGATTTCCATAATGAAATTTAAAATTCAACTCCTCAATAACTGAATCACAAATTTCCACACGAATAATAAATTCCACCAAACCCTATCCTCAACGCAAAACCGATAAAACTCTCAATCAAGACTTCCAGCAATCCCCAGGAGTTCTCCAGAAAAATTACTCAAAAAATCTCCCAGCATTAATCAACCATCAGAATTATACTTTTCCTAACAGTGCGAGAGCACGGGGATGCCTAAAAAATCGAGAGCTCACCCATCCGGAACTTCAACCCATAATTACAGCTGCATGACTCCGATATTTTTCCATAAACACCTCTCGTCTCCAGGGATCTCCAGATGCTCGACGAGGCCTGAGATTTCCTATCAGTCTAAAAAGTAAAAACGAATGATAGAATCAATGTGTGAATAACAGAGGAAAAGTCTGAATCGAAAGAGTATGTGAATAGTCTGGAATAGAAAAGAGTTATCGATGATTTGATGAAGAGGTGTGCGAGGGGTTTCCAAATGAAGGAAGTACAAGCGAGTCAGAGGAGGCAGTGGTTTGAGCGGTCAACGGATCGTGGGGGGTTTGAGGATGTGATGGGCTGTGATGGGCTGTGATGGGTTGTAGAATGGGTGGAATGGAGTGGATGGATGGGGCTAGCCAGTGGATATAAGAGCAAGTCGGCACCGCTGTTCGCCGTTTCTCACTGTGACCTCGCGCCAGGAAGGTCTCATCCTTCTTGTTGAGTCCGTTTCTCGAGCCTTGTCGTTTATCACCCATCAATTGACTCATTCATTACTGATAATCAAACGACAAGGTGAGTTTCAGTGCAGTTGATTGCTCGGTTCATCAAACAACAGTGATTACTAAAAATCTGTGTCCTCCTGTGAAGCTTCAACGGTTTTCTTTTTACGTATATTTCAGAGAGCCATGAAGACAGTGGCAGTGATATTGTTCCTGGCGATAGGATATTTGGCGATTGTATCAGAGGCATCACCAGTGCCTGATAAAAAATCGGAAGTTAAGACGGACGTGATTGCCCCCAGACAAGCATCACCTGGAGCACCAGCAGCTGGTGATGACGATGACGACGACGACGACGATGACGACGATCTCGTCGACATCACAGGTAAATCCCTGAATAATCCTGAATAATCCTGAATCCTCCCGGCAGATGTTTGATGAAACGAGTCATGAGTATTGATGAGTTTTTGTGATTCTTATGACGAGAAATTGATTTTTAGGTGTAGCTGATTACGACGACGACGACGACGACGACGAGACCGAGGACGATGATACCGAGGATGATGACGACGACGACGATTACCTGGAGCGTTTCATCGAGGACATTCTCGGGGGTAAATATGTGAATACTTAAATGGTAAACCACCGTTATCGACTCGTGTATGCGTACTAACGCACGATGTAACGGTATTGCAAGCTCTCCAAGTTAAACTCAGCACACGTATTTAACATAATTCGTGCGGCTGTGGAGTTGGTACCATAATTCGACTTGTCCCACTTGAATGACCCACATACCTTATAGAAGATGATGATGCTGGTGGGAGTTGTGCGGCTGGTCGTTCCCCATTGGATATTATCCAAGGATATTATCCACCTTCCTGCATTCCTCTTTCATAATAATCCATAATAATCCATAATAATCCGTAATAATCTGTAATAAAGATACTTGACGATAATGAAAAAGAATTAAGTAGACCGGTTGAATGTCAACAGGCGAGGATGACGACGACGATGATGATGAGACACCCTCGGTGGTCGAGCCAGTTCAACCAGCAAGTCCAATTCAAACTCAGGCAACAGCTTTACCTGTAAGTGTTCAGTCCGATTTGAATGCCGAGGAGGCGGCCCATGGCCCAGAGATTGCTGATGTCAATGAATCAACTGGTTCATACGAGGAGGAGGATGTTGCACCAGAAGGTCAGGCTGTATCAAGCCTCGATGGTGGTGATACAGTTGGTAATCCTGTTGTCGTCAATCAGCAAGCCATATCAACGCCATCACAAACTGTTGACAGTGACGAGGACGACGATGACGATGATGACGATGATGACGATGACCTTGGGTTAGATATTACTGAGGACGATGACAGTGAGGAGGATGATGATGAGGAGGATGGCGATGAGGAGACGGACGAGCTCGATGATATTGTCGACATTGCTGATGCACGGCGTGCACGTGAGTTCAAGGGCAAGACAAAGAAACACACTAACATACGCTCGCGTAAGCACGCGCGTGGTAAAAAAAGTGTCAAAAAAATCGTTACACCCAAATAGGCTTTTTACTTCTCCCCCTTTCCTGCCAATATCCATTTTTTTTTTAACGAAAAAAAGATAACTGACGTGGTCCTCTTCATCCCTGAAATATTCCGAAAAATCCCTCGAGCGATTTTTTGTACTGTCGAGGAGGAGTGTCCTGACAAATGTCGTTGACATTTTATCTTTTTCATTTTTGTTTTCGTAATGAATGTCCTCTGTTTGAAAATTACGCTTGAAGTTTCGAGGGTGATTTTTAAATTAAAAATACTGATACAGTGACGGAAAATTTATGGAGAATTGTTTGTTGAATCAGTTGATTTTTTGGATGTCAAGTGATTACTGGAAATTCAAGATTTCGTTGGTGATTCGATGATCGTTCAACATGAAAACCCCAATTTTCTTGGATTTTTGAGGGGAATGAGGAATTTAGTGAATATTATTAATTGAAATTGAATTGAAGCTCGTGTAGTTTGAAATTCAAATGACATTGTCACGAAAGTTTCAAGAAAATTTTTAACAGTGTCATTGAGAAAATGAAAGATTACACCCTTTCTCCATTTCTCGCATCTATCTCATCTATTTATTATTTATTTATGTATTTATTAGTCGGTCTGATTAATCCGAGCGTGCTTATGTTGTGTTTGGAGTTATTTGAATCCTCAGTGGCATTTTAATACCCTCGGGTGATGAGTTTATTTGTCTTGCAGCTCGAAAGCAACGTTAACGCATTGATTTGATTAATTTAATGTGGAGACATATATATATATTTTTCAAAAATTAGTACGAACTCTCTTCGGACATTCTTCAGTGTCCGGGTGGTGGATGGAATGTTTTTTGCGTTAAAATGCCAAATGCTTTGGTGACGTCACGTATTTTCTCCTCGTGAAACGGTACCTTGACCACTCCCGGAAGGAATTCTCGATTATTCGGTCAATAATGTTGAATAATTAAAATTATTGTATAAATAAGCGAGTGCAATTAGCGAGTGCAAGTTTACGAGGGGAAAATCATAACCTCTGCCTTACGAAAAAATAAAAACATTCTACATGAATTTCATACGATTAAAATAATGAGAAAACATCAAGTATTGTATTTTAATCTGTTAAATAGTGTACAGAGAAATCAATGTTCAATTCGGATTAATCACGAGAGAGAGTAATGGTGAAAAAAAAAAGAACGAAAAAATATAGATAATTTATGATTTTTACAAAATTGTGTTTTTGATTGTTATTGATTGTTATTGATTGTTATTGATTCTCATTGGAATCGAGTTGGGGTTCGTTGTCCAGAGACTCGGTGTTACAGTTAATTCATCCATCAGTCATTATTATTTATTAATTATTAATTCTGGCCCAAACGTGACGCGCCGAAAGCCAAATGCATTTTAACGTATTTATTTATTTAATCTCTTATTTTTATACATTCGCTCATCTATTCAGTAGTACCTAGTGCACAAATATCCGGGTGACAGTAGACTGTAACAATCCGTAACTGGACAGAACCTTACTCGACTCAAATGAGATAATGAAACAACCATTCATTGACTATCATCACTATTCCAACATTCCCATCTTTCATTACTATCTAAGCTCCTTGTAGTTGTAACAAAATAATCGTAGTTGCTTCAAATAATTGCTTTCTATAAAAGGAGAAGAACACATAAACGATAAGTCCCCGGTCCCATCGAAGACGTTCCCTTCATTAACGTTTTATTATCGCTATTTTATCAATTATTTTGCTATTATTTTCATTCGGTCAACCAAACTTACGTCCACTATTGACATTTATTCTTTATTTATCCATTTCGCAGATGAGCAATAATATTTAAATATAAATGATGAACTTGTGGCTGGGGGAAGCTCTAGAGTCTAGTTTTTATCAGGAGAATATCATTTTCTGGTGTCTGTTTTGTTTGTTAATGCGATATTTGGAACGAAAAGAAAAGAAAAATCAGGAAGAAAGTAATCGATTGGGCGTGGTTGACTCCATTCTTTCATTTTTTTAAAAGTCATTATCATTAGAGGAACGCGGGGAGGGGGTGAAACTCCTGGGAATATTAAATAAGCTTTCACCGGGGCGGACTTTGTCGTCAAAAATGTTGTATCTCTCTTTTTTTTTTATACAAAACAAAATTGAGGTCAGTGACCCGGAGTGTAGAACAGGCTGACCCTGACCCAGTAAGAAACCCAGGGAAATCTTGCCTCTGATTCCGGCACCTCCCTGTTTCACAAAAAGTGCTTAATCATCTGTCAGGTTAATTCTCGACTTCTTCCCGGGTCATTTAATCTCTTGGTCAGAATTTCTCGTCGCGGTATGATATATATAAAAATATATATTTTTTCGTTAAATCTACATAATAGATTATTTGTTTATTTTGAACGAATTCGTTTGTTTGGCGCCAGTAAATGTTGAGGAATATTTGCATTTTATTGTTGTTAACAAATTTCTTTGGGTAAAGTTATTTTTTCGGCAATTTAAATTTCAAACGTTTGCAATTAAATTCGAATTCTTTCTCTGTGTACTTGAAATTTAATTGATTTACAAATGAATTGACAATGTATTTATTAAGCACCCGTTTGTTGAGGTGATCAAATCAATCCGAAATGAATGACTCGTCGAGATTATTTCACTCACGTGATTTCTGTCTGTATTTCAATAAGTTCTACTGGAGTAATTGATCTCGGGTTTGCAGAATCACTCGACGGCAATCGCAGTCACGAAATCATGTCGCGTGCTATTTGAAGACTGTTATTTACTCTTCCTGGAAATCAGTGAAAATTGATGTTAACAAAAAAAAATGAAACGCTCGTTGAAATCTTATCGCGTGATAAGCTGATAGAAGTGTTCGTCTCTGGTTATCATGATTGCAATTACTTCCACTGAAATAATTGATTCCAAGTCTGAAGTCATTTGAAAGCAATTGCAGTCACGAAATCATGTCGCGTGCCACTTGACGTCTGATTTAAATTCTCCAGGAGTCAGTGAAATCAGCCCAAAAATCAGATAACATCATCGTGTCGCGGGTGATAAAAATAGCTAGATCACAATTCTTTTGAAAATCTCTTCTCGATTTTATACATTCACAATCAATAACGTGAAATCGATTGTTACTTTCCAAATCAAAATTATTGATATTTCATCTTGTCGTGGCCAGGACGTATTCTCAAAAAACCAAAACGATTTTTTTAAAATCGCCATCTGGTCTCTGTCCTCGATATTCATCATGACCCAGAAAACAATCGCCACATGCCATCTAAAATCAACAACAATTTATTAAACGTCAATTTGACTTGCAATTGTCGACAGACTAATAATATTCGTCGGGAAGTTCTGAATAATAAATTTATTATAATCGATGATAAATAAATAAATTCTGGGAAGTATCGGCGAACTAGCTGAGTGAGATTTTTAGCTGGAATGGTTGGAGATGGGGCCAATGACCCACATCTGGGTACCAGTTTGGTCAGTAGATTCCACGCGTTAAATACTGTCCGGTCAGTAGCAGTACGTAAAGTAGGTTCCCTCTTCCTTTTTCCTCGTTCACCTTTTTTTCCCTCTCCTCGATGATGCCCCATCCCTTCCAGTACTTCACCCATTGGCTCCATCCGACTTTCTTCCAAGGGCGAAAGGAGGTCGTGGATTTGAACGAATGACCTCACGAAAAATGCGGACAAGGACATGGAATCTCCCCCGGTTTATTAACTCACTCGGGTTCATCTGGTTCATCGGTTTAAATTGATATTCACCGAGGGTGATAATGATTGTTTTTAAATAGGTGCCATGGACGGAGAGACGGCATCCGATGTATCTGCCATTTATGTCGCCAAGTATAATAGATTTGTCGATAATATTCTTGCGAGGATCAACAAAATTCTCAGGACCAACTACGATCCGGTTACTGTTAAACTCACCAGGTCCAGCTCCAAGACCAATAAGACCAAATCCAAGAAGAAGAATAAGAACAAGTCCAAGATCACCAGTAGGGATGCTAATTCCAAGGTGAGTCTTGTTATAATTATTACTCTAGCGTTGGGTGACATTTTTTTTTCTCAGTGCATTCGTTATTTTTGATGATTCGCCTTGGATATTTGTTCGTGCAGTTAATTGAAGTGTTGGGAAAATATTTTCAGGAAGCAACGACCACATCAAACCTGGAAAACCAGTCGACAGAAGCAAGTATCCAAGCTGATGCATCTACTGAGGATTCAACAGGTAGTCGAGCAACTGGAGTGATCACTAAAGATACCAGACCGAGGAAAACTGTCACCAAGAGCAAAAAAAAAACATCCAACAAAGGATCTACCAAGAATAAGGTAAGTTTGACTATTAGACCAGAGAATTCATTATCCTCTCAAGTGGACTGGAAAGAATCGTTAAATTGTGGTGATCGCGGTGGTGGGGTTGATTCTCTCTTTTCATGCAATTCATGATGATAAAGATGATGATGGACATCATGAATTCTTCAGAAATTTATGAACTTCTCGCTTTTTAGTTTTTTAACTCTATATTTTCGAGAAGATAAACCCATTCCCGGTTTATGGCAGAGGATTGAAAGCTTGGAAAGTTTTACGGTGATGACTTTGATGATTGTCTGTACGTCTTGGGAAGCCTGTAGAATTTTTACAAAGAGTTTTGCTTCCGTTCTAACTCCTCAAACGGCAATTTCAGTAAATTACAGAAATCACTCTTTAGGATGAAGTTATAAAAGTTTATGATGATATCGCGCTGACATTACGTTTACGAGACATCATAAAGAAATTTATCGAAACACGGAATAGAAATTGAGCACTTCAGGATTTTCAAGTTCTTTAGAATTTTTGGCTGATATAGTTCTGTAAATTCTGTTAAAGTCCCAATTGAATTCATGAGGATCTCGATTAATAGTAATATTGAATAATAATATTAATATTGTCAGTGTTAATTGTTATTGTCCCCAGTTGAAACAAACGAAGCCAAAATCAAAATCCAAAACGAAAGCAACTCTGTACGGTCTCTCATCCTTGAAGCGTTCTGGTGATGTATCTGTGAACATGATGAGCGATCATACAACAATAAAAACGAAATTCAACCTGGGACCCCTGGTTCTTCAAGTAGAGAAGGAATTTGGTAAAGCAGCTAAGAAGGAACTTCGAAATGCAACAGCCACAACTGCTGAAATGTCAGGAAAATTGAGTCTGCGAGTGCTGCACGGTGGAGCAGCCACACTCCATTCAATTCGCGTCTCCCAGCCCAAACAGGTACCCAAAATTCCAGTACTTTCTCTCTTGAACCTATTGAGGACAACCTCATGACATTATTTTATTCAGGTACGAGTGGACAGCCCAGATGATCACGACAGAACCCGTGAATTCGTGTGGCGAAGATCATCTCATATTGCCCACTTGGTCTCCCAAAAACTCTCATCAGCAACTAGATCAATGCTTCGACCACCACCCGCAATCACCGCCTAGATCTCCAATTAGACATTAATTTGCCATTAATTTATTCATTTATATTTATCCATGAGTATTTATTGATGAAGTTATTCATCCGTAGATGAACAGCTGTACTTAAATGACTGTAAATAGTGATTGAGAAAATAAAATATTTTTACAATTCATCTGTTGAGTAAATACCGTTGTCAATTAAGGTGACATTATTGTTCTCGACGGTGTGCAAATATTTTCTGACGAGAAAATGACGCGAGAGAATAATTTCACTGTGTCAACACGACCGATAACAACTCAAAGAAAGTTAAAAAATAACGGATTGCCGGGATTTTATTGAGAAAGACGGGAGGAGAAGATAATGAATGCAAATTTGCAATGCAAATTTCCCCCAATCATTTGACGTCAGAAATATAAAAAACGGTATGTTCCATAATTTTTTTATCGAATATTTTTTATAACAATTATAATTTTCATTATAATCGTAGAAAATAAATAATAAGACAGTGATTATCGCCCGATTACATAAAATTGACAAAAATATTGATCACTTTCGAATTCAAATTTCCCTCCACTACCAACGGCTGCTAACGTCAATCATCACGATAATTTAAAAATGTTGGCTCATGACTGCAATTATTTTCCAGTAAATTTACTCATCAATACGTGGCAATTGCGTATCGCGTCTACTCCTTATCTATTTCATTAAAACCCAGACAATTTGAATTCTCGCATCACCCAATCAAAATCGAGGCAATCGTAAAACCGCAAAGCCCCGCGCATTATCACTGCACATAAGACATTTTTTCAAACTTAAGATTTAATCATTCCGAATATCCCCTCCTCAATTTACTCACACCACAAGAGACCGGGATAACTCAGCACTTTTACATGAAGCCAGTGTTGATCCAACACTTTACGTAAACACCAGCCGTAACACCTCCTGCAGCAATTACAGAATTCATCATTAAATGCTATTAATCTGAAGGTACAGTGATTTAAGTGCTGCCAGAGTTAGTACGATATCCCTGTGAAGGATGATTGTGCCACTGATAAAAAGGAGAACGTGCAGATTAATCTGCGGGAAGATGATGAGCTCAAGGGTATCCAGAGTCTCCACCAAAGTCGATCCATCCCACCTGGATAAACTCGATGATCCATCCAAGGAAGTGACAATTAATTATCTAGATGGTAAAGACAATGGAATAGCAGTACTAGCTCTTAATCGGCCAGCGGCTCGGAATTCCTTCGGGCGAAATCTCGTGAGTCTGTTATCACAATCTCTCCACAAGATACGAGACGATGAGAAGGTCAGGGTTCTGATCCTGCGGAGTCTCGTACCCAAGATTTTCTGCGCCGGAGCCGATCTGAAGGAGCGAGGACAGATGAGTGAATTGGAAGTTGGAGAGTTTGTCAATTCCCTCAGGAATTTGATGAGTGAAATTGAAACGATACCGATACCATCGATTGCGGCGATCGATGGGGCTGCACTTGGAGGCGGTCTGGAGATGGCTCTCGCTGCGGATATCAGGACTAGTGCTTCTGAAGCGAAAATGGGACTCGTTGAGACGAAACTTGCTATTATACCTGGGGCTGGGGGTACTCAGAGACTTCCCAGGATTGTGGGCACTGCCAAAGCCAAGGAGATGATCTTCGCTGCGAAAATTCTCGATGGAGATGAGGCGGAGGACATTGGACTCGTCAACAGAGCTGTACCTCAAAATAGAGGAGGAGATGCGGCATATCAGGCAGCCTTGGAAATCGCTCGGGAAATCCTTCCTAATGGACCTGTTGGAGTCAAGTGAGTTGATTCATATAAATATTTTATGAACTCATTATGATCATGAAAAAAGAATTTAAAGCCTCCGACGAGAAAATAAATACTTTCAAATTATTTTACTTCGAACAATTCCATTCATTTGGGAAATGTCGAGAATTGTTTGAATTTTCTTATAATCAATGAATTTAATTGGTGAAAGTAATTTTTTTCTCAGCCATTTAATTTCTAATTTTCATTATTCAATAAAAAATCTACTCACAAAAATATTGCTCCACTTCCTCCACTTCGAAAAAACTGAAATCATCCTAGTCTACCACTTCATACGGAATTACGGAGAAGATGTCATTTTTATTGAATATTTCTCTCCATGTGGTTACACAGGCAATCGTGGCTTTATAATAATTGATGGTAATTCATTCATCGGATGGTTCTAGAAAAATCGTTGTTCGCGGATTGTTTGCACTGGTAAAATAAACGATAAGATTTGCACGTGAGTTCCGGATGCCGCACTGGCAGAATGGATTATTTATTATTAATAAATCCATTTGGTTGAAGGCGGCAATCAACTTGATTAATCTAACAATCATTTCGATATATTCTAGCATTCAGTAACTCCTCTCTGTTATGATTAGAATTTTAAATGTACACATAAATTATTATTATTGTCCACTCGGCATCATCTGAGATGTAGAGATTTATTTTTCCTGAGAATGTCTTTTTTAGATAAAAAATTTGGACTTTGTAATGTTGAATTGGTGAAAATCTCGTTTGACGCACGCAGAAACGTCAATTACAATATCACTACTGTAAAACACGAGAAACATCTCATGATCAGCTTTAAAAATCATAATTTATGATACCGCAAGGTAGAATAAACCCGTTGAAAAACCTCGTGATGATCTTCCTAACAATTTGCTTAGCGATTAGTTTCTAGTGTGTAAAAAGATGTATTTTTTAAAAATAGCTTTTTAATATATTGATTTTGTATACATCAGGATGGCAAAGGTAGCGATCACGAAAGGAATCGAAGTGCAAATCGACCAAGGATTCGAGATAGAGAAAGAATGTTACTCAAAGATACTTAAAACCAAGGACAGACTAGAAGGGCTGGCAGCATTCACCGCAAAACGTGTGCCAATATATCGTGGCATGTAGTGGAATAATGAATAATTACTCTAGGCTCACTGTGATAATGTCAAGTTAAATTCTGTGTATATTCCGTAATATATCAACATACAATACAATATTCATCTCAATATTTCACAATTATATCTTTTCTTTTCGGCTCTGCAGGTAATGATGAAAATAAACCGAGGAGGTGCAAAGTCTGATAAATTTTTGGAATGACTAATTTTGTGATTTTAGTTTGGCAATTAACGTTGCAGTGATCCGTCCTTGTTTCTCATTTCTTTGCGAACTTCGAGTAATATTTTCATCTGTTCAATTGTGTCTGAAGGTGTAGTTACACGGTGGCCCACAGTCAAGTCACTTTGATAAATTTGATAGTCATTTCCTCCTTCATAACATCTGTCACCGAAAAAGTGGATCTTGTCGCAATCGTCGATGTGACGCAGGCAATAGGTCTTGTCCCAACCGTGTGGAAATATGTCAATTGATATTTGTCCCCCTGAAATTGAATGAATTGATTAAATTGATTAATTTCCACGAGTTAAACCCTTTTCACAAGACCAAAGAGATTTCATATTTTAAAAAATAGTTCACCTATTGCAAATGTCAATCCAAGATCAGGAAATTCCTTCTTCAATGCCTGAATGAACTTCTCGCGAATGTGATTCTCCTTGTCGTACTCTGCAAACTGATATCTCTCAGCTATTGTGCTATTTCTACCAACAGGCGAGACATTCACCATTCCAGTGCGAAGTTCAATAAAAGTTCCTCGTTTGAAGGGCAGACGCAATTCGGAAATGTACTTCAAGCAGAAGTTCACCAATTCTTGATAAGAATCCTCTCCCAGCACTGTTAGAATAGACTGCAAACAAAAATGCCAACGGAACCCGTCAGTATTATTTTTGAAAATATCAATGAGATTCTGTAGAAATTAAAAAAATCGGGACATTTGAGGATTAAATAGTAACCGCTCTATTATATTAATTGATGAATTGATCAAGGTGAAAATAATATTTCGAAAGCCCCTCGACCAAAATCCGTAATGAAGTAGTAAAGACTAACAAATTGATTCACAAAATAAATTAAATAGAGTTGTGTTGAGTATTTATTGTTTATGTTACCTCACTTGGGAGCTGTTTCTCATCGACGTAGGCAATCAAGCCATTCTCAGCGAAGACATACTTGTACTTCGAGATGACATCCTCACCGAGCTGTTCCTTAACTTTCACGATATCAGAACCACTCACTATCCCAATATCAAACTTCTCCCTTTTCGCTGTTTCCAGCAGAAATTGCTCCACATGTGCCTCAATTTTCTGTTGAAAAACAGACAGATGTAAACAATTAATTCAGTAACAATGACGATGATAATTAATTTATTCACCTGCCGTGGATTAGTGAGAGTTCCATCGACATCAAAAAGACATACTATCTTCTCATCCGACATTGCACAAGCCTATTCTATTAATCTGCAATCGAAGTATATCAAATTATCTCAATTATCAGAATTTAATTATTAGTAATTATTAAAAATTGAAAAGATCATGGATGATGTAATCACGCAACATGTGAAGGGATCAATTTGAAATTAATTATTACATGAAATTGTTTATATCTCTGTAATTATCTCAACTTCTCCAAAAATCCGTCATCCTCTAAATATTTCTAGCCCTTTTTAAACTTCGAAGACTCTTAAATCACAATATTCTGTGAAATCAGAGACTTTTTCATCGAAAACCGATCTCCAAAAGCAATCGACTTGATCTGATACACCTGTTTGCTTCTGAAATATCAAACTTCACCTAAAGCTGAGTAATTCAATTTCATCTATTTCTAGACTTCATGTGTCACAAAACAATTCAGATGAAAGATATCACAAACCAGCTGTTTCCCTCCTCCAGAAATTCCCACCCCAAATACACATCTCGAAAAACCAAAATCAGCAACCAAATCCCCACGTTTATCCCCCGAAAAAAAGCAAACAATAACAAAATTTAAACTAAATTCACGAGATTCTCCAGAATAAAAAAATCTAGTCACGTGAAAGGCGTAACCCATTGATTTCCATCATCATCAGGTCCTTTCCCTCAAAATCTTCATTAAATCCTCCAATTCGCGGTTTAAAACAGCGCAACCCCTTTTAACCCAACGACAGCCACAATTTCAGTATAATTACAGTATAATAATAATTGACGAAACAATGAAATAAACCCACGGGGTCAAGCTTCCAGTTGTTCAGATAACCTGTAAAATTTCACTGACTGTCAATCTTCACATCAATAAATAACTCCATGAATCGATTGATCATGCAAATAAAACTATTGAACGGTGGATAAAATGAGGGGATAAAAATAAAGAAAGAGGAAAGTGATTGAACCTCTGGTGTGAAGTGAAAGCAGTTAACGTGGCAGTGGCAGCAAGTAGCAGCAAGTGGCCGCAAGTGACAACAACTGAAGTTCGTGTCCAATTGGAGCAGCAGAATGGAGATGTATTGAACAGCACAGCGCAAGTGTCTTTATTTACAAAGAGATTCAAACATTACGTGGCGCCTTTTTCGTGGCTTACATAAGGTTACAATAAATGTATCTCTCAATGCCCCAATTATTGCCACTTCAAACCTTCCGCATCCTTTCTAAATATCCAACAATTACATTTTGTCAATGAATCATTACGTCACGAACCGTTGGTTCTCTCCGAAACGATTTGTACCATTTCTCCATTTTACAAATTTCCTTCTTCATTTTTTAATTGAAATTAATTATATCTTGGAGAATTAGAATAATAATGATAGGTTGGAAATTGATTTTAAAGACAAAAACTGGGGCATTGGTGAAAGGACATGTCCCAATAAATCTCACTGTAATCCCAAAATGTCATTTTTTTTTTTAATTAATTCCGGTTTGTCCTGAAATATTTTAGATGCGAAGGATGCGACGTCGATTTGAAATGGAATTAAAACCATTCTTGCTGTTGATCATTTGCACATTCCTGGGACAGGCCAAAGTACATGGAGAACGGAGAAATGCCATATTAATACTGGGTACTTTTTTTTTTTTTGTAGAGTGACCTCCTGTTAATTATCTTCCTGATGTCTAGGGGCTGAATGTCGATTATATTATTTAATGGTCTTTGTTACAGCGGATGATGGAGGGTTCGAGATGGGATCTTACAGGAATAAAATATGTCAAACACCGAATTTAGATGCCCTGGCGAGGGACAGCTTAATTTTTAATAATGCTTATACTTCTGTGAGCAGTTGTTCTCCGAGTCGTTCCTCTATTCTAACCGGACTTCCGAGTCATCAAAACGGAATGTACGGGCTCCACCAAGGTGTTCATCATTTCCAGTCCTTCGATGATGTCCAGAGTCTCCCAAAAATATTAAAAAACAATAATATTCGAACAGGGATAATCGGTAAAAAGCATGTGGGTCCGAGTGAAGTCTATCCTTTCGACTTCGCTCATACAGAAGAAAATAGCTCAATCCTACAAGTAGGCAGGAACATCACGCACATAAAGCTCTTGACCCGAGAATTTCTCTCAGCCTCCAAGGACCAGCAGTTCTTCCTCTACATAGCTTTCCACGATCCCCACAGATGTGGTCACACGAATCCAGAGTACGGTAACTTCTGCGAGAAATTTGGTAATGGAGACACTGGAATGGGACGAATTCCAGACTGGACTCCGATATATTATCAGTGGGACGAGGTGACGGTACCCTATTTCATCCAGGACACGGAGGAAGCGAGGAGAGATATCTCCGCTCAATACACCACGATGTCTCGCCTGGACCAAGGGGTCGGGCTGATCCTCAAGGAGCTCGAAACTTCAGGATTGAAAAATAACACTCTTGTCATGTACACCTCGGACAATGGGATACCCTTTCCCAGTGGTAGAACGAACCTCTACGACCCTGGGATGGCAGAACCCCTGATGATCTCCTCCCCTCTCCACCCTAAACGCAGGAATCAGGTGACGTATAGCATGACTTCCCTCCTCGATATCGTCCCTACACTTTTTGACTGGTTTGGAATCAACGAGGAGCTTTCACAGTCCAACGAAATCCCCCAAAGGCACTCGATAAATCTCACAGGGAAATCACTACTGCCTCTTCTGATTGACGAACCCATTGATGACAACAACGTCATCTTTGCCAGTCAGACTCACCACGAGGTCACCATGTATTATCCTATGAGGGTTGCTCGCACCAAGAGATACAAATTGATTCATAATTTGAATTATGGAATGCCTTTCCCCATCGATCAGGATTTCTATCTCTCTCCAACATTTCAAGACCTCCTCAATAGGAGTCGCTCGAATATGCCCCTCAGGTGGTACAAGAATCTCCAGAGTTATTACCACAGGCCTGAGTGGGAGCTGTTTGATCTTAAAATGGACCCTGAGGAGGTGAAAAATCTTGCGGGAAAACCATCGGCTAAAAAGGTGTTCACAGAGCTTAAGGAGAAGCTTCTCCAGTGGCAGTGGGAAACACACGATCCTTGGGTCTGCGCTCCACATGGGGTTCTTGAACCCTCTCAAGGCGATAAACATAATTTGAGGTGTATGTCTACAGAGTTTTGAGGTAAGTGGTTATTGGTAGATATGAAATTATATTTTTTTTATATACAAAATAGTACGAGTCTTAAGAGTTTTGCAATTAAGTAGCCCTAGTTGGGGATGGGATTCACATTTTTTCTTGGCGAGATTATTGATGATAGAAAAATATTTATATCAGAGTCGTGGTGAGAATTTTTTCTGTTGTTATAATTTTAAATTGGTAGAGAATTAAAAATTCATCCTTAGGCTCTTACTTGGATCAAATAGACCTTGAATACTCAATTTATCAATATTATTTGTCATTTTTATGAGAAGTTTTTAAACTTTTACTCCATTTCCTGAGAAGAGATTTTTTTTGTTATATATTAAAGCAGCTGAATGCCCTTGGATATTTAATTTATCAACAACTATTATAGTTTTATCAAGAGTTTTCGTACTTTCACACTATTTACACATTCAAAGTTAGTATGGAAAATATTCGCGGTTTCACTCGAAATTTAAGTGAAATTTCAAAAAGTACTCAGCAGAAATTTCTGTCTTCAATGAAAAAAAAAATAATAACAAACTCATTCCGCTATTCATGAGCAAATAAATAAACATTCTTCATCTCTCATCTCAGGAGGCATACGAAGAGGCATAAGAATACCAAAATATCCCTGCAATTTGGTACACATCACTAAGTAGAGTCTGAGACTCTTAATCATCAACTTTTTCATTTCAATTACATTAGTAAAATTAAAAAGAATCAATACACATTCGATTACTAACAAATGATAAAAGAACAAAACATCGTAACTTTAAAGAATTCCCATTTTTCAATTGTTGTAAGGATCTCCCACCCATAATAGACATCCCAATTCAGTCTGAGAATTAAGAATAAAATTTAAAATCTCATAAGTTTACAACAACATAATTTCAAACATCTGGAAACCTACCCGATTTAAATAAAATCTTTGATGAACCGTAAAGAAAAATTTTGATAAAAAAAAAATGCCTCTCAATACCATTCAACAATTTTCTTTCACTCCCAATATCAAAGAATTTGTTCAAAGTAGTTGCAAGCATTAATAAAAAAATTAGTAACTGAAAATAATGATCGACCAACTGAAAATTTACAATCGCATCAATTGTTAATGCCTGCCTGAAGCGGTTAGATAATTCCCAAGCACTTGCTGAAGAGCATCTTCAATTACAAAAACAGTTTTATCAAAAATACAAGCGTTTAGTCTTAATCCATGTGCTTACACTATAACTCTCACTAAAGTGGAAATGTCACTCTTGGAGAGGTCGACCTGAGTCTGTTCTCTTTATCGTGCTGCATAACAGCTTCACTCAGCTGATGAACATAAGTGGATGACTTGTTTATCGTTTTCTCAGCTTCATTGAGGCCCACTGATATTTCGGTTATCTAGGATTTGAAAATAATTATCAGCTCTCAAGTTCTTGAGGAGTAATTAATTATTTTAGGGGTAGCTCTGAGATACTCACGTACTGCTTGTAGCCCAAATACCTGTGGTATTTTTGATTTTTCATGTAAATATCTTTAACTTGAATCATAAATACCACAGACAATGCCATGGCGACGAGGATTATCAGAGTATTTATATTCTGCAAGTTCCTGAGAAGATTCATGATCCCTTTCGGCTTTCATTTGATAAACAATTCATTGGAGAATAGCGGGCTCATGATTTTGAGGCTTTTGAAAGTGCAAACACCTTTGAGGTTCGTTTAATTCTATTTTCGTTTGGCACCTGTCGATAGGGAAGAGACCTCGTCAATTATACCCGACGCGTAGTTTAAATTCGTTAAACTCAAGGTCTATTGATTACCATGAATAATTCAGGATTTACTTCTTTTATTATTTATTGTCAATGTTTTATAAATG